TCACTGACTTCGCTTCCCCCCACAGACGACGGAGCAGAGAGCGAGGCTGTCGGACGTCCGGCCCGGTCGCTGGTACCAGTTTAGAGTGGCAGCCGTTAACCTTCACGGGACCAGAGGTTTCACCACGCCCAGCAGACACTTCCACTCAAGCAGAGGTCAGACACACACTGCATGTCTGTGTGCATGTGTGTGTTCTGCCATCCTCCCATTCGCCAAACAGCAGCTTTAACCACAATGAGTCACCGTCAGGGGGCTGGAGCCAGGTGACAGTCGGACTTTGACAAGCTGCCAGCTGCAGAGACACAACAGCACAGTCTGACAACAGAGATGACTGTGCTGATGTAGCCGTGCTGATGATCTTCAGAGTGGCTGTAGGCCAGTGAGGAAAGTAGGTGATGCAGCAACGTTCAAACAGGCAGAGGTGTTCAGACCGACCAGCTACAGTGACATCAGCTGAAAGCAAAATATATTTTAACAGCTGTGACAGAGCACAGCACCCACCCCTGCATCCACTACCCGAAGTAGAAGAGATAGAAAAGAGAGATTTTCTTTAATGAACTAAAGTCAAGAAGCCAAAAGTTCTTAATATCAACACTGGCACAGTTGAAGCTATGCAAGAGAAAACAGACTGTTTAGATAACGGTTGAACTGTTGTGTATGTGCAGAGTTTATGCAGAGAATCCTCAGAGGATTCGTTGTTTTCCTCTGTGTGATTTCTGCCACAGTCTCAGAGGAGCCGCCTCGGCAACTCGCAAAGACGTGAACCTTAATCAGCTCAGACGTGTTCGTGGCGTTCTCCCACTGTTGGCTGCGCGGTGCTGAGGTACTTAGGGCGCAGTGTAGGTGGTGCCCTTATGTATTATTAGAACAGTTTTACCATCAGATTGATCACTGATCAGGCTGAGGAAGCACCAGATAAATACCAGCATGATGGTAGGCAGCAGTCCTCACTATTAGTGAATGCAGTGGTAGTGTGTGATAGTAAAGCCCCACACACAGCGTTACACGCCGAGTGTTCGTTTTTATGCGTGATCTGTTTCTGCAGCAGCTTTCCAGCTGCCCTCCTCCGCTTCACGCCGCACACAGACCGCTGCTGATATACTCAAATACACGACCAGATGATGGCGGTCAGACCCCCCTGACACCATGCCCTGAACCCACCGCTCCTCCCTTGCAGCCAAACCACAAACCACAGCCTGCCACACAACTATCTGTAAATACAGCAGATGTCTTCTGCAATCGATTTTTTGGTTATTTTGAGAGTAACATGTGAACGAATCGGCCTATTGTGAACTTTGCAGGATGGGTTAAAAACGAAGCACATGTCAGTGCACTAAAGGTCATTGTTGTTGATATTAATAACATCCAACATGTGCCCCTCAGATCCCTCCAATCCTCCTGCTCCTACTGAGCTGAGAGTAGCAAACATGAGTTTTGGTCCCGGGAGCACAGTGGCAGCCAGGATTGAGTGGAGCGTGCCTCCTGACCTGGATGTTCCCGTCCACCACTACAAGGTCAGCTGGAGCTGGACTGCAGTCGGACATTCATCTGCCTCATCCCTGACCAAGAGGAGGAAGACGGTCAGAAAGGTGAGAATG